CACAAGGTACCTCTGCGACTAACTGGCGACGGGGATTGCGAAACGCGATAAACAAAATTAAAGGGAATGCTTCGAGCGGGTCTGAAACGTGCACGACTGATTGGCCGGACGATGAGTATGCTATGGTAACCTACGAAAATGCGCCGACTGTCGTAGGTAGACCATTTGTTGTCAGAAGGTTTATGTACAGCCTCGCCAAAGACATTATCGTCAATACAGTGTGTAGGTTTGTCCAACAGAGGCAGAGGTAGAGAGCGAGAGTGAGGAAGTGGAGGGGAGGAATTCGGAAAATTTTCCGACACGAGACTTTATGCAAGGAGAGATGCGCCATCTTTCAAAATAAGCTCACCTAGCAGGAGGGAATTTTGAAAAAAATAGAAACTACAGACATAATATCAGATAGAATGGGAACACTAATAAATCATGTTCATGTCAAAAGGCAAACTCCTTAGTTTTCAGAAGCCAATAACTTTGTTGAAAGTTTTCCCGCGGACAACAGTTTTTGTTTGTATTCAACCACGTGGCCTCGGGAGTTCAGTTTACAGTGTCATTATTCTTTTGCAGGTCTTATCCAACTTCCTCTTGACTTCTGGAGGGGACAAATAGGTCAGATTTTGTGACAGTCCTTCGTCACATGTGAGTTGTCACTTGCTTTGCAGCACTTCATCTATAATGTGGAGGGAACAATGAACTAAGATTGCAGAGACTGAAGGGCGGTATATTGGAGCATTTGACTGAAGCGCTCTACCACTTCAGCCAGGGGTTTCACGTCGTGTCGATCGAGGTTTAGAATAACCAAGTCACCTGGCAGTAACTTGTCGCCGATCCGACTGTAGGAGGGGAAATGTTCGTTCCTTTTTTGTTTTAGCTCTGGGATCTGTATCGCTGATTGGTTGTCGCCTTATGACCGCCTGCGAGGTTTTCGACCTAGAGCTTCAAGGCAAAATCGAACGAGTGTGTTCTTACCTGCAGTCGTATCACTGGAGGTACACTTCTACATGGATTTATATTTGCTAAAGAAAGTAAATTTCCTCCGTACTTTTTTCGCTGCCTAAGATGAAGTTCTTTTTAAAGATCAAAAGGCACATCTCTATCCGACAACAAACCGACCCCAAGGTGTGGGAGTCCGAGCCCTCTCCCAGAGACGGTGGTCGCTGACTATAGATAATTAAGTATTCAGTTTGTATAAGTTATTTTTTTCTAACAAATGCTTAAAATAGGCTATTATACGGGCACTTCATAGACTACTTAAAAGATTTCAACCTGTTAAGCTGTCTGTGAACAGGCAAGCATAAATTCTCCTATCAGCACTCTCGGTATCATCCCAAACCTTAAATCCCCCTGTAACTTCAGAAAGGCAGGGGTTCCTCTTGGTTAATTTAAAGGCACACCTCGTCTTCTGGGCTACATCAAGAGGCCTCAGAAGACGTGAAATGCGCCTTTATGGGAAATGCAAAGTTAGGCGTCACAGACTGAACGAATAGACAGAAACTAAGTCAACTCGGAATGGCAGCCTGAAGGCTAATTCGCTGAAACTTTCATGTGTTACTTGGTAGAGGGCCTCCATGTTAAAATTTTCAAGGTGTAATAGTAAGAAGGATTACTTAGTGCGGAGCAAGGTTCCCCGAAAAAAAACAACTAGTGTGCACCAACAGAAATGCTTCAGGGGGAATTCGATAAGTACGCCCCGAAATATTCGACTGGGACATAAATGTTTAACTATAAAAGAACTGTCTTATAATTGTTAACATTCTCTCGGCAGTATTCATAAGACTAGTTGGCGAGCCTACGTTAATCTTCCATAACTTCTCGTCAAACCAGTACATTTACAGGGTCAAGCGACCCTCCCCTCTCCCATATTCCCACATCCCACCTGTGTTTTAAGACGAATGTTGATCGATCTGTCTAATTCCCGATATGCTTTACTCGACCCCATTCCCATATAAATGTACTGTCCTGACAATAATTTATCGAAAGCAAACGTATGCTCGCCAACTAGTCTTCAGATTAAAGAACCTACTGCATTAGTCATCCATAGTGAGATTATATAAATAATTCCAGACGTATGCACAGACGATCCATATTGACCGATGGACAAATTAGTCTTCTGGGAATGCTTTTCAAGTCTTCCCACAAGGGGTTAACGAGAAACATCGAAAGATTGTTGTCTTGGCAGGTCTTTCGGTAGATATGTGACGGATGATTAATTGGTGACAGGTCAGGTTGAGGCTATCATCTGGTGGTTTGACAGGCACTCAATTGTAAGTATTCAGTCACTGTAGGCTAAAGAGGCGAGTTTCAAGTAACAGGTGAGAAGGTGACTCGTTCGCCATGCAATCGGTTACGTTGATGCTGGTGACTACGGGTTTTCGGCTGTCAACCCACTCACCGACAGGGTATGGCCGATCCAATCTGTGCCACTCATCCCCAATCCTGCATCACGAGTGTCGTCGTTTTGAATGTTAATTAGAGGCATCAAGTAAAAGCTACCTTGC